TTTTGTTTTGTTTTAGTTTCCCCCCCCCCACCTTTCAACACTACATTTGCCAGGATCCGCTTGTTTTGTCCGTTACCTCCTCGGGCTCTGCACCCTTTCCCACCCCCTCCCTTGTTTACATGTGAAGCCATCGCCAACCGTGCGGAGGGTTTTAAGTTGCCACGGGTGCGTCTCTGCCCTTTGCACAAGGTCCCCTCTCCTCTCCATCCCGTTGGCTGTGGATTCCTCACAGCACCACAGCCGTTGTGGCGGAAAGCCTTTTTTTCTTTGCACATGACCCAGCCAGCAGGCTTGGCTTCCACGGGCGTTGTGTCAAACAGCCCGGATTCCAGGGGGTCGATCGAGAGCCGTGATCCACAGGGAGCTTGCCGCTTCCGTGGAGGTTCAGGTTCTTTGAAACCTTGATTTTGCCAAAGCAGCCAGCCTCCGTCGGGGGCTCAGCGCGGTTTGGCCCGTGCTTCAGAAGGAGCAAGAGAGGTGACTTTCCCTACAGGCTGCTCCCCCGGGCGCTCTTTGTCAGCAAACTTCTTCGCACAGTGGAAAAGAAACCGACACTAGCTACTAACTTCTAGGATTTGCCTTCTAAGACACATCTATAGGGCTCTAAAATGCCAGGGTCTTCCCCCCCCCCCGAAATGCGCTTAAGTCCATGAGACGTAATATATATGTGTGTGTGCGTGTGTGTACATAAGCAGATACTCTTGATACGGGTCACGCTGCTGCTGAAGTTTTCATTTTTAATTCAGTGTGGCCCTTTTTTGAAGAAGAAAAAAAATTAGGTAGACTTAAAAACCACTTCCAGGAACTCCCCCCTCAGACCTTCGGCTCTTTGGCCAGTCAGACCTCATGGAGCAAAAGAGGCCCGCCAGCCTTCCTCCAAACGGAGATTTCAGGAGGACGATGTTCTTGTTGTGGCATGGCCGTCCTCGTCCTCGCTTGGCGTGGTGGTTCTGGTGCCCCAAGGGGTGTGTGTGTGTGTGTGTGAGGAGAGGCGTCCGAAGGGAACCTTCCGTTGGCTTGACATCCTGGAATACCATGCCATCACCGTCCGGCCTCACCGTCCCATGGACATGAAATTGGAACTAGCTGCGTCCATTTATTTTTACAGTGAGGGAGTGGAGGGGGACGAGAAACCCGGGCTTTGGGAATGGCGGTGGGGAGAGGGTGTGCCTCTTTTCCTGCTTCTCCCAAAGACCTGGGAGGAAAGCCCCCCCCCCAGGTGCCTGACAGGTCTCTGAATTGCCCGCTGATTTTTGCAGCGGCTGGAGAAGAGGTGGGACCTGGCGTCCGAAAAATCTCATTTTCTCCACCCTGCTCCCATAGATGTACCTACCTACACACAACCCCACCCCACCCCCGGGATGGAAGCAGTGCTGTTTCCCTGTTTCCTCCTCAGACCATCCTGGAACAGAGGGACAGCAGGGGGAAGTGAAGTTGCACCAGGATTTTGGGAGGGGGGAGGCTATCACCTTCCCCTTCCCCATGACACCAGTTTCAGTCCTGGCTTTCTTGATCTCCAAGGGGCCTCTACTCCCCCTTGCCCAGCAAGGGCATGCCAGGCCCTGAAATGGCTTGCAAGGCTTCACCCAGCTCAGCCGCTCAGATGTTTGATCTCTGTGTGTATGTGGGTGGTCTGGGTCGCAGGGCGGTGGGGGCGTGTCCGAGGCAGGCAGGTTGGAGGCTAGCTCAGACCGGGGGGGGGCGTCTCTGTGTGCGTGAAGCCTTGCCACGGAGACACGCGTGCCAGTCATTTTGATCTGAGTGGAACGAGAGGACCTGGGTGGATGGCAGAGCCGCCGTGCTTGGTGCAGTGCAGGCTTAGGTCTGCGTTGATGTTGCGTGTCTACAGGAGAGCAAGGAGCGGGGAGAACAGGCATGTGACTTGAATTCGGGAACACCTGAGCTAGGGGTCATCTTCCCAGCTTTTGCTGTCTGTCCGAACTTTGTGAAGGACGTGGATGTCTTCAGGAAGGGTGATTCGGTCCAGTGCAGCAGCGGGGGGGGGGGCACAAAATCCAGCCCTCCTCTTTCCTGCCTCTTTGTTGGTCGCTCGCAACCCCAAGTCCTTCTCCTCAAACCTAGTGTGTTCACTCTGCCCAACTACCCTCGAGAGCCCTTTACTTAAACCCTGGGTAAACACACGCTTCGGAGGTTGAAAGGGCCGCGTCAGCATATACGGAAAAAGCAAAGGCAGAAAAGGTGCCGGTCGAGCAAACAAAGGCGCGTCGCGGAGGCCTCTTGGTGACGGCGGCATAGCTGTCCGTCTCCCCCTTCCCTCCGGTCTGAGGGCTCTGCTCGAAGCGGCCTTTTCAAAATGATCCTTTTCCTTTACACCCACCCACCTTCAAAAATTATGGAAAACGTAGCCAATTGCGTTTCCTAATTCCTGGAGACCCTTGGTCGGGAAATGCAGATTTGCTGTGCTCTGTAAACAGGCTGCTGGGTTTTTAAAACAGCGCCGAGCAAGCAAATGGGCCCAAGATGGGCGCCTCTGGCATCTGGAAACTTGCCACTCCCTGTTTTCCGAGAATTTTAATTACAATTTACCGTGTGTGCCAGGAGCCCAAATGCAGGTCAGCGTTGGCATCCAGGGGCTGAGGAAGGTTTCCGTAGCCCTCGTTCCTCCTGGGGCCTGACTCCCTTCGTGGAAAGGGACCATCGTTCGGCCAATGCAGCCTCCTCCCACCCGTCCCTTTTCCCATTTTCAAGGGGTCGCGATAGAGGCCCCCGTGGGGATTCTCTGAGAGACCTCCATGTGAAAACAGGGCGGGAGGTCTCCCCCCACCCCCATGGCTGTCTTTAAGGCTTGTGGGTCGGTGTGGTCCTAGCAGCAGGTACAGCCAGCGAGCGAACGAGAGACACCCCCCCTCCCTTTGCTTGCATTTCCATCCACGCCTGCTTTCTTAGCCTGGCCCAAGGCCTTCGCGGCCCAAATCGCCCCTGTGGCAGTGGCCACCGTAATTGGCGGGCAGGACCAGGGTGGTGTAAGATGCTCTCCAACCTGGTGGACCTTCCAGATGGGGTGGAGAACAGTTCCCATCATCCTCTCCCAGGAAGGTCTGTCAGGATGTGTGCAGCCTCCTTGTACATATGGAGGGCCTCCAGATCAGTGGGGAGGCCCATAGGAGCAGCCAAGAATCTCCAACAGTCTTAGGGGTGGGAGGTTTCTTCCAGAAAAAAAAAGTAACCTTTATGAAATTGAAGGCGTTTAAAAAAAAAAAAAAGGCTAAAACTTCCCTCCACTTCTGGGGAGAGAAAAAAAAACGAACAGGCGGTGGCTGAAAGTCTTTGGCCTGTTCTTCCCAAAGAAGGGCCCCCAGCTCTCCCTGGTCTTGGCATCAGGTTGGGGGGGGGAAGAGAGAAAGGGGAACCCTCCCAACCAGCCCCATGTGAGGGGCATCATGGCAAGCCTCTTTTTAAACAAAAGCCCTCTGACTCAAACGGGAGATGTGAATAGTGTACATTTGACTTTAAAGAAAAAAAGTAAATTGAAAGCTTGCTTGTTATCGTGAAGATTATTTTAAAAGAACTAAAGACGAGACTTGATTTCTAACAAACTATTAACAAGGCTTCAATGTAAGGTTATCCTGTTTGGGGTAGAGAGAGAGAGAAAAAATAAAAGCATCTTGAATGTATAATCTATTTTTGTTCTGTCCCATCAGCCTAGCTGGCTAATTTTACCAGCCAGGTGGAACTTCTATTTATTACTCTTTTTTTGGTCACACTAACCTCCCTCCCTCCCCTGGCTTTCTAGCATCCGGCTGCCACCTTTCTCTCTAGCTACGCTTTTCCATTTTGCACAAATTCAAAAAGGACGCCATAGCATTTTAGTGTAATTCTACAATTCTGTAAGCCATTTTAGTTTTGTTCCCTGTTTACAGCTTGCTACGCAAAGTTGTAAGGGGTTTTCCTTTTCTCCTTTGGGAAGAACCCACTTTACACTCCAGACGTGTCCGTGGACCGAAAGTAAAGGGCCGAGCACCCGAAGCACTGGGGATGGGAGAGGTGATCGCTCTGTGCGCGCTCGTGGCCAAGAAACGGGAAAGGAGCTTTCGGTTTTGCAAGAGAGAGCTGGCGGGAATGTTTTCGAGTCTCGAGCGGTGCACTCCAGGGTTTGGAAACATGATGCATCTTGGTTGGTAGGGAGGTGTGATTATATCTCACCAGGTCCAGAAATGCTCGGATCTGTTTTGGGCAGAGATTTTGAAGGAAAAAAACAGGAGGCTCTCGGCTGCCAGGACAGAGTTTTCTCCCAGACGCCAGCTTGACAGGGCTAAGCATGGACATGAGCCCCCCTGCCGACCACCACTACATTTCTGCGTTCCCCCCCCCTCCCTCCCGGGCTGCGCCAGTGCTCACAGTACGGGCACCTCTTTGTACGATAAAAATTGTCAGTATTCCGGTATTCCTTCTGGTGCAGACCTACATAACTAGCTCTCATATATAACTTGTATTAATTGTATAGATTGTGCATTTAAAGCTGTCACCGAGTTGTCGGGGTGGGGTGGGGAATTAAAAAGAGAAAAAAAGAGGTCATATGTAATATTTTGTTTGTAAGTATCCTTTGTATCATAGCAAAGGAAATGTTTAAAAAAATGAGCTGTAATAAAGTAATTTTAGTAGATGGCGTGTTGGCATTCATTTGTTACAAGGGCACAAAGGGTTGGACGTCACCCACTGTGGGCAGCTGCCATTCCCCAGAACCCATGAGTGGCTTCTGCCTGCCCCGGGCACCCCTTAATGCCGTGTCTCCTGTTTTCATACAGGGGCCCCACTGTACTTTTATCCCAGGATGGTGTGCCAAATGTAAAACTCCACCTCTTTAAGTTGCATTGTTTGGACAGGAAATGAGCCCACTGGACCGGTGTGTGTGGGGGGGGGACTTGTCACCCCCAAGCCCTAAAGCATCATGTCTAGGACATTTGGGGAAGACAGTAAATGTGAAGACTCTCATTTGAAGTCCCCCGCATCTTTATCCTGATGGACACGGTGGTTGATGCCTGACACATCTGACTGTCCACCTTCAAACACGGACTTTTTGCGCATTTGCAGAGTCATCAGGCAAAATCCAAAGAAACAAGACAAAAACATGGGGGCCCTTAAAGACTTAACTACTGCATTTTAATGTCAGCTTTCATGGACGTGTCCACAAAAGCTCACATTAAAATATAATAGCCTTTAAGGTACCCCATGTTTTTGTCTTGTTTGGATTTTGCCTGATACGCTTGCACAGACTGGCACGGCTACCTTTTCCAAAACTACAGATTTGCAAACGCAGGCACCACCTAAACAGAAAGTTCCTCCATCGGCATCAAATCCAGCATCTTTGCAGAGCAGCGCGGGGCCTCCCCAGGGTAAGGAGCCTGATGCCTCCAGCACCCCAGCGAGCATCAATCCGAGGCTGTCAAAATGGGCAGTGGTTAAAAGTGAGGGGCCGTGTGTTCCTGTCACAAATCTGGGTACCTTACGGCAAACAGCCTGCTTCCCAACCTCTCCTGCACTTGGCAGATTGGCAAAATATCTCTGCGCTGGAAAAGAAGCATGGCGTTGACGAGAGACCCAACTGCCTCTCCAGACCTAGGTACTCTAGTCAACAAAGCTCTGATGTGCTGAATGCAAGAATATGGCTTTTCAAAATAAAATATGGTTCTGGAGGCATCGAACATGCCCTTCTGTGTCGAAGCAAAGGCCACAGGAGACGGATGTCCTCAGAGACTGATCCGAAGCCCTGCTGGGAAGCCTGCCCAGAGAGTAGGACCAGATCCGCATGGCCCCCAGCAAACTGAAACGGCTAGGCCTGGCAGCGTAGAGGTATTGCAGGAGAGGCAACATCTCACCATGGCGACTAATGGTTCCTCCGGAAATGCTCACAACCCCCTCTTTAACAGCTATCGGAAGGATTAATTCTGACATCTTTCAGAGATAATGGTTTGCTCTACGCCGTGTGAAAACTCCGCTTTTTCTTTTGTACGCCTCTCATTGGCTTGGCTCGATGACCTTGCGTTCATTCGAGGGTCAGAAAAGCCGGCTAAAATAAGCACTCCTATCTAACCACTTCTAACAGAGAAGAATTTCTCCCCATCTTTGTCCCGCCCTGCTGTTTTCAGGATTCCCGGCTCGCTTGGGCACCAAGAAGCGTCTTAGCGAGTGTAGGATCTTTGCCAGCTGAAGGTCTCCCGGAGAGGGAGGCGAGCCGGGGGTGAGGCCTCCGGGTGTGGCCGCCGATGGTGCAAACACAAACTCCTCCGGTGCACCCTCTCTTCGGTGTGGAAAAACTCCGCCACGGTGCGAAAGTACTCCAGGGTGGCCGAGTGGCCCCAGGAGGTCCCGGCGTCCTCCCCGAAAAACCCGCAGTGGCCCCCGTGCGGACTCAGCAGCAAGAAGAAATACGGATTGCTCTGGAAGAGCTCCCAGGGGATGGTGTCCTCGGGAGGCCCCCGGATCGGGTCGTCCGCGCTGCAGAGGCACAGGACCGGCACGGCCACCTCGTCCACGTCTCTCAGGGGGTCGTTGCGGTCCCAGTAGGCTTCCCAAGTCATGTTCCGGCCCTTTCCGTGACAGAACAGGGCTTCCTCGAAGGCCCGGAGCGAACGGCTACGGAGGGCCTGGTCGACCTCTGTGACCTCTTTCAGAACATTGACGTACCTAGAAGAACAGGCATATGAAGAGCGCTCGGGAGTCTAAAATATCAGCAAGCCAAAGAGTCGGCACTAAAATGGTTAGATGGTTCCCCGGCGGGGGGGGGGGGAATATCAATATCAGGAGGTGAAGAAAGATACACAAAATTAGTCTGTGCCTTTGCTCCTCATTAGTTTAGGAAACCTCTTAAAATGACCAGAAAGGGCTAACAATTATTTTAAAAAAAATCATAATGTGCCGTCAAGTCAATTCTGACTTATGGTGCCTTTTTCCAGGTACAGAATCCTCGGAGGTGGCTGACCCTTCCTTTCTTTTGGGGGTGCCCTGGGACTACTGTGCCGCTTGCCCAGGGCCACTTCTCCCTGGGGGGGGCAGGGGAAACACACTGGGGGGGGGATCAAACTGCAAACTTCTGGCTCCACTGCCAGAGACCTAAACCACTGAGCTTTCCAACCAATGAAGAACCACACCAAAAATTACCCCCACCAACGGGCCACCAGTTAAAATCACATCCAGTTGCCACCCTTACTGAAAAAAAAAACTGAACGCTCTTGACATCTCGCGGTGAAAACAACGGATTTTGTATTTGTGGCCTAAAAGCCTAACTCCGGAAGAGGAACTGGTTAAGCTTTTAACACACGATGGCCAAGCGGTGGAGTTTAACAAAGATGGTCCTACCCCAGACCGGAAGAGAGGACGGCGGGGGGGGGGATGGAGAGCAGAAAGGGGCTGGTGGGCTTCAAAAGCTAAGGAGGGGAAAAAAAAAGAAACAAGAGAGAAACCCCCCCCAAATAAAAGAAGCCCAGAAGGTCATGGGTTAGATCAGGGGTTCCTGACTCGCAGAACTAGCGGGGAAGGCGTCTGGGAATTGTAGTCCACAAATATTTGGGGACCTAAAATTGGGAACCACTGGCTTAGACTCTCCAAGAAAGAACAGCTGAAACCGATTTCTCCATATGATTCGGGGTTCGTGTATTGTCCTATCTGGGGAAATCCGGCCTGCTGTTTTCCGATCCAGGGTCCAAAACCCCAAGCAGGGAAGGATATTGTTCCTACCCATTTCCACACCCTCCCTATTGCGGTCATTGGGTCCTAGCCACCTGGGGGGAAATCTGAGGAAGAAGTACCATCATCACCGCTCCGGTTCCCATGGCAGCAGCATCATCATCAGAGGATTCAAGACAGGAGCCTCTATGAGCTGGGTGGGGGTGGGAGAGGCGATCTCTTTAGGTTTTCCGACATTTCTAGCATTCTGACGCCAGTTTGGTGCCTTGGTGACACCAGCAGAGAAGGCAAAAGGTCTTTAAAATAATAAGGCTCATTTCTAGCTGGTCCAGAACGCGCCTAGTGGGTGGTTTATCAGGGAAAATGCAAACTACTTGGGCAGCTACTTTTTAAAAGTAACTTGTTCCGTGTTCCCTGCCCTAACGCTTGATAAACAAACCACCACTATTACTTGTCTCGAAGTTCATTTTCTTGTTTGTTATATTCTGGTTCTATATAGAGGGTGGGGTGGGGAGGTGGGATGGGATAATGAGAAGATGCCATGAATTTTTTTGGGGGGGGGAACACCCTACAAAAAATGGCTTGAAATGCACATTGAAAAGGAACTTTGGAAAGCAACTAGAGTTGGTTACTCATGACATCTAGAAAGGACGGGTGACGTTGCTTGGGAACTGCTTCGTCACATCCTCCTGAAAAGTACCTAGATATAAGGAATTGCTACCTCGCAACAGGACGTCCTCAGCCCAGAATCCTCTACTGGGTGCTAGGGGATGATGGGGACGGGAGTTAAACTCATCTGGAGATTGCCTGCCTGGGGAAGGTTTGAGCAAGAGGAAAGAAGGGGATTCCACTGGACAGGATCCCACTGAGAAGGAAGGGTGCCTTCCGGGGTTCCTCAGCACCGCCCCCCCCCGAAAGGCCCGATTTTTGAAAACACCCACCTGCTGATCCCTCTTTTCTGGGAGAGGAGGCAGCTCCAGCGGTACCACCAAGAGGTTTCCCTCTCGAACCACTCCTGGGCCTTCAGCAAAGGGGAGAGGCAGGCCGCCCCTCTCAAGTAGCTGGAGGAGCCACATTCGCCCAGGTAGGAGAGCAGGAGGCCCGATCCGGAGCCCTCGCTGACGGCGAAAAGCATGGCGGCCGGGTGACGGAAGCGGAGGTACGCCACGGCCTCCTTCAAGTCTGCCGGGTCGCCGAAAGGCTGCAGCTTTGAGGTGGTGAGCGGGCATCCGTTGTGCCCGCGCCGATTGAAGATCACGGGGTAGCAGCCTTCCCGGAGGGCCAGCTGGCAGAGCTGGTGGAGGTTCCTGGTGATCTTGCCGGTGGCGTTGGGGACCACCACCAGCACCGCCGCGTCCAGCCCGGGAGCTGCCGCCTTGGCCTTGCCGGAAAGAGGCCCAACCACCCAATCCAGAGCGACGAGGCCTTTGTCAGAGAGCTGGAGGTGATCTCGGGCAAATTCCAGCGGCCGATCCGGTGGCCACAGGAACTGCACCACAGTCTGTAAATTCGGCCAAGCTTTCCAGGACCAACCGCCGGCTTCCAGACAGGCCAGCTGGCAGAAGTTCTTGAGCAACACCTGGGCCAGAGCCGAGGGCTTGCCGACCAGCTGGCAGCTGCCCACGGTGGGGCCCCTTGACCCTGTGCCAGAGCCACCGGCACCCTCCTCGGGGGTCCCTCGCCTGTCACCGGGGGGCCTGCTGGCAATCCAAGGGCATTTCCTGAGCCCCCACGCCACAAGGAGGCCAAGGATGGCAAACCCCAGCATCCACAGACCCATGGCTTCTGCCTTGAGCCCGGGGGATCCTCATCGGAAATTGTTTGAGCACGGAGCGCCTTCTCCAGATCTCCCTGCTGGTTATTCCACCCGTGCCGTCAACGGTGCTTGGTTACTCAGCAAATAAGTCATTTGTCGGAAGGTTGCTGGGGTGGGTGCCGAGGGCTGGGTCCAGGGGTGGGGGCTTTCCTCGAGGGGATGGGTGTTGTTGTTTTGCCGGCGGTTTAACTCTTCCGCTTCCTGCCAGAGGCCCAGACCGGGGCTTCAGCGGCTGGGCTAGAGTTCACTTTGGCTTCCTTTCTTCACTACCCGAGCCAGCGAGTCCGGGGTTTGTTTTTTCGATCTTTGTGTGTGTGTGTGTGTGCACACGCCTGTGCCCCAAGGGAACAAAAGCAGCTGGTTTGGCACACAGGGGCCCCGGCGGCGCATTCTTTGTCCTGCGCCTACGAAGTCAGGATGAAGCAATCTGGCAACCCTTTGTGTGCCCTCTCCTTGGCGCCCTGCCCTGGGAGCCAGCAAAGAGTGTCCGTCCAGAGGGGGTTCTTCCTTGCCGGGCTGATCCAAGCCTTTCTGCTGCCTGGGGTGAGCAGCAAAAGGCATTCTCCCCCCCCAAAAAAAAGAAGGTTCCCCAGAAATCCCCAAACATGCGCAACACAACCACGTAACAGTTTTTTTGAAAAAAGTAGCCAGTATTGAATTAAATAAAGCTTGACTTTGTTGTTGTTGTTTAGCCATTTAGTCGTGTCCGACTCTTCGTGACCCCATGGACCAGAGCACGCCAGGCCCTCCTATTTTCCACTGCCTCCCGGAGTTGGGTCAAATTCATGTTGGTCACTTCGGTGACCCTGTCCAACCATCTCATCCTCTGTCATCCCCTTCTCCTCTTGCCCTCACACTTTCCCAACAAAAGTAGCCAGTATCACATTAAATAAAACTTCACTTTGTTGTTGTTGTTTAGCCATTTAGTCGTGTCCGACTCTTCGTGACCCCATGGACCAGTTTACACCAGGCCCTCCTATTTTTCACTGCCTCCCGGAGATGGGTCAAATTCATGTTGGTCGCTTCGATGACCCTGTCCAGCCATCTCATCCTCTGTCGTCCCCCTTCTCCTCTTGCCTTCACACTTTCCCAACATCAGGGTCTTTTCCAGGGAGTCTTCTCTTCTCATGAGATGGCCAAAGTATTGGAGCCTCAGCTTCAGGATCTGTCCTTCCAGTGAGCACTCAGGGTTGATTTCCTTCAGAACGGATAGGTTTGTTCTCCTTGCAGTCCAGGGGACTCTCCAGAGCCTCCTCCAGCACCACAATTCAAAAGCATCCATTCTTCAGCCTTCTTTATGGCCCAGCTCTCACTTCCATACATTGCTACTGGAAAAACCATAGCTTTGACTATACGGACTTCACTACCTTTCCACAATTCGCAATTTCCCAGAGAGATAATTTAGTTTGGAGCGGCAACTAAACAAGACGATGAGTTCTCTGGAACCGAAGGTTCCCCCTGTGGAAATTGAGTGCGCCCCAACACACTGCATCTCCGGGTGAATCTCTGTTCTTGGAGAGCCACCAACCAGCTGGAACACATCCTGCGTCCTGTCACTGTTTGGAAATTTAACACAAAAACACAGTAAAAGGAGCCCGAGGGTCAGTGGGTGGATGATGCTCCTTTTGCCCTCAGCTCTTGGTTGGTTGTTTTTAAGAGCCACAGCCGCTCCCATTTTGGACTCCAGGCCTCAGGCAGGGTTTAGCTCGCTGGTGGCTTAGAGGAGGAGACGGGGTGACCCTTCCTTTCTCCGCAGGTCAAGAAAACCAAAGGTTGCGTCCACAGAGAGTGGTGAGCACTGGCCGGACTCGGAACAACTCATCTCTACTGGTGTATGTTTTGAAGGCTTTCAAACTTAGTGCTGTTTTAATATGCACACGTGCGCCGAGGATAAGCTGATTGCCAGACTCCGTCTCCAGGGCTGTTGCGCGCATCACCCACCTGCGCGCTCGGGCAAAAGCACGGGCACCGCCCAGATAACGTGGCTCCCCAGGTGCGGCTCCAAAAGCTGCTTTTTAAATACGTACTGTATTTCCTAATTTCCTCCCCCTTTGCCTCTGGAGAGCCCCCAGGTGGCCTGGCTTGGCTACGAAGCCAGCAGCCCACCTCTGGCCTTTTGCCCCCCTTTCCTGGACGCCCCTGAACCATCCACGCCGCCAGGTCGAATCGCCGCCCCCTCCGTGGAGACAGAAAGCTGCCCCCCCATCCCCGGCCAAGGGGGGGGAGAGAGGGGAAGGCGGCCAGCCTGGGGGCTGAAGGAGTGGGTAAGATCCGAGGCAGGAGGGCGGGCGTCTTCGTGCGTTTTCGCTGGGAGGCTCCCCTCCCTCCAAAAAAGCCACCCCCGAGAGCCTACCTTGCCGGGAGGGCGTA